AAATGAATACATTTGGGTTGTAACTTTTCGTAAAAATATCATTTAATAGTTATTTTTAAGAGATGTCTTTTCGATATAACCGTTTCGTCAAGTGTTACGAATTCCGAAAACCGCTTTATGGTTATTCAGAGGATTGTGGTTTTTCAGTAAAAAAACCGTTTAGTAGTTATTTTTAATAGTTGTTTCTTTTAGATATAACTGTTTCGTCTAGAGTCGCGAATTCCGATAACCGTTTTAAGGTTTTTCATAGGGTTGCGTCTTTTTGATATAACCGTTTTATGGTTATTTTTATAGGTTGCATCTTTTCGATAGAACTCTTTGCAGTTATTTTTCAATGGTTGCGTCTTTTAGATACAACCGCTTTATGGTTATTTTCAAGAGTTCCGATCCTTAAAAAAAAAAAAACCATTTGGCCTATATGTATTTGTGTCTTTAATTCCATATATTTTTCAAATTGAACATTTTGTTAATCATGGTACTAATTTTATAATTCACTGTAAACACAACAATGATAAAAAAGTTATTTTTATTTTAAAATTATTTAAAAGTATTGATTTTTTTACTATCGTAGAAGTTTCAATAATTTTTTATTTGTTTTTAAAAAAATAGATTTCTTTAGACAACGCAGATTTTATCATTGTTGGATATATTATTGTTCTAGAATTTTCCAAAAATTCATTCGCTCTTGTGTGTTTAGTGCGGATTGTTGGTTTTCTTTTGTGATATGCATGTGACATTAAATTCCATGGTATTATGGCTTGTCTAGTTTAGAAAAATAAAAAATAAAAGTTTGATCCAAACTTCCAAAGAGATGTGATTTTGGATAGCAGGTTTTGTAAAAAATAATTAATTGATCCAAACTTTGAAGAGGATGATATTTAGGATGGTAGATTTTCTGATTTTTATTTATCAAAGTTATTTGCATTTTAAGCACCAAAAAATTGTTCTTTCATTAGCATCGACGGATTCTCACAGTTTTTTTGTTCACATTCTCCATTTACATCATACACTCCGTAATACCAGTTGGTTCTTTTGTTATTTACTACTCTCTAATCAATTGGCATTCACTACTTTCTGACTACTTTCCCACACTCCAAAGAACTCGAGTGCATATTATTATCAAAATCAAACGTTTATGCGAATTGAATGGACAACAAAGTGAAAACAGACACTTTTGTTCAACATCTGAAAATTTTGGTTTCCTTAATTTGTTATCCAAGTACTCAATATGGTCAATTTTGATACTAGATTATCTATTCCCGATTATCTATATTAATTTGTTATAATATTCATCGACCGTTCCCGATTATCTATATACTAGATTTTTGTCCCGCGTCAAACGTGGGATTAGAATATTTGAAAAAAATATATATAAGTTTTTATAATATATGGGATAAATTAAAAACAAAAAAGATCAAATGGTATATCTCCCATATAGATAAAGATATTTTTTCTTAC